TTTTTGTGGGTCTGAATAGCTCAAAATTGTATTTTCACCAGAGCCTGAAAAAGGCCGCTGCAGTAACTCAGATAAGAGGAGAAAATGGTTTTAAATTATGAAAAACAGGAAGAGAAGCATATTAAAGAGAAAAATAACTTGATTCTCACATCATTAATTCAGAGATGAAGCTTTATAAGCTTGCTGAGTTCTGGGCTTTATTTCAGATTAGAGATAAAACAGTTGATATTGTGACTGGGAAAGAACTGGTAGAGGAACAGAGAATAAAACAGTTAAAAGAGAGGAAAATAATGGATAAAAGGGAGGTCAGAAAATTATTTGTATACTTAGAATCTATCTGTCATTTACAGAGTGAGTGGAGTAGGATGAGATACAATGGAGGGCAGTAAACTTTTCATTAGTTTAACACAAAGCCTTGGATATTCTGGAATTTAAGGAAGTCCTAGAAATAATGAAGTTGCATAATAATAAATACCAGATTTTGCTCTCTTTCTCTCATTTCAGCAATATTTTTAAGGAATTAAAATTTTGCCCCAATACTATGAGTTTTCATTTCCAGACCAACTTATGTGTAAACTGGAATGCAGCTCTCTGTGGAATTATAAAATAGTATATTCAGATTTTCAAACAGGGGGAAATAGAGGAGTCTCTGTACTCAGGACTGAGAAGTGGAGTGTGAGAGGCTCCATACGTCCACCCTGGCCAGTGCATTGTCACAGGCTGAGCTAAACCGGCATCTTCACGTGTTACCCCAAGCATGGCACTTCTCTGAGTGTGTCGTTCTGAGCTTAAGTCCTGCTCTCCAGAATCATCAGGTGCTGTCCATATGCATTTCAAAGTATTTTAGACTTTCACTCGCTGCTATTTTTGAGTATTGTAAAGTAAGCTCCATCTCAGAAGAAACAAAGCACAGAAGTCCTAATGTGGGCACCACCATTCGAGCACCACGTGAGTCTTCCAAATACACCTTCAGCAACCCCAGGTTGTGATGTCTCCCAGCACAACGGCAGGATAGGATTCGTTTAGTTTATTTTGTACAAGGTCTTCAGATAGCCAGAACAGGCAAAATTAAGCTACACTTATCTCTGAGTTGAAGGACTCTCCTCCCGCCAGAGGGAGCCAGGTTCCCAGAGCAGGACGGAGCACGGGCCCTGCGCGCCCGCCCTGACAGGACCGCTCCGCCGGGGACTCGTTCCCAGGGACAGCAGGGAAGATCTCATGGTGGTTATACAAGTCAAAAGCCGTCCTCACAGGAAGGAAACCACAGTAATGATAGTGATTATCTTTTTTATTGCTGTATTTTTTTTTAATAGAACCCTGTATTTGGAAATAAAAATACATGATACTAAAAAAAGTCTCTGCTATTTGAATTTAATAGTGTCTATTTTTCATAGGAAAAGCAGAATGGTGAGAGACAGAAAGCAAGCAGAAATTTAAAAAAAAAAAAAACTTTACAAAAGCATTTATTTTCCTTTCAGGACTTCTACAGCACTTTTTGCCCCCAAAATCCCTGCATTTCCTTTGCTAAAAAATGCTGTGTGTCTGCAGTATGACCACTCTTACAATTCAAGAACAACAAAAATGGGACCACATATATTCTGATACAGTTTTACTGTAGTCAGCGAATTAAATAATGTATCCAACTACATCAGCAGTACATGACAGAAGTTATAGCAGGACTTACTATTTCTGTGACTACTTGTGACAGACATACTTGAACAGGAGTACTCCAGTACAACTCCACTTAGGTGTCTGCTATTTATGCTTTTAGGAAAGTGGAACATCTGGGGGAATAATCAGTGTTATTTTGCTTTGGTATAACTTACAATGGGTAGATAATATACAATGACACAGAGTATCTTCCTGATTTTTTTTTTTTTATGATGGTTCTGTCATCTAAGAAATGACATCTTTTTTTTCCTGTTTACAGTATAGTATTTCCACCTGACTCTATTTACAGAATCATTCTGAAAGAAGGAAGCAGCTCCTGAGAAACAGGCTTAATCCTTACAGTGCTTCTGACAGCTTCCTAAAATTGCATTTCTATTGTAAATCCAAAGGTAGTTTGCTTCTTTTGCTTACCTTGCAATCAGATTTGTATTTGCCATTTCTACATTGACAAGTTCTTTGGCATAATCTTGCACAGTTTCCTTGATTTCAGTGGGGCTGTATGAATTGCATACTAGGAGAGTATGTGGCATTACATCTGCTTTCAGGGTGGCAGGGAGGCCTTTGAAATCCGACTAAAAGCAGCTTCTCGAATTTTTCCCAGAAGATGTGCTATCTTGCATTGGGAACACTGGAGCAAGACTTCTGCTGATGTCACTGTGAGTTTTAACTAAAACTCTGTCTTTCAGGATAGGTGGGCAACTTGCACTGCAGGTGACCTTCATACCAGGTGTCTGTCTGGTGCATTTTGTGTAGTAAAATAACCATCAGTGAGTAAGCCAAATTATGATTTTAAACCTCTGCTTTCTCTTACAGCTAGATACGTAACAGGAATATGCTGTGGGAAAATACTGTGGAGAACTTGTGTGACACAATTGCCCCGAAATAAAATAACTTGCACATGAAATGGGCTGGAAACAATTCATTACAAACAGACTTCAGCTACATCTGCAGCTCCAAAGGAGGCAGCAGAGACAAGATGCTCAGAACAAAAAAACCTAACTGAAGCAGTTGTTATAAGGGTATGGATTTTCCATTTATCAAGTCAGATATACTGACTTTTCTTCTGTAATAGGGAAATTATATATTTTAGGGATTGAAAGAGGAAAACCAAAATATGTCTTGGTAGGAGCAACATGTAAATAATACAATCATTAATATATTGGGCATCCTGAAATTGTATAATAGTCAGCTTCATTAACAATTACTATCAATAGGGAGATTCTGGCTTCTTTGTACTTCTTCATTCTGACTTCTCTGTTTTGTATATAAGTATACATGCTCTATGTCTCGTATCAGATGCTATGGCATTGGCATTATTGCCTTTATAGAAAATCATCTGTCACTTCTTATGACAAAAATTGCTGATGGATGCCAAGGTTTTCACTGCCCACCATGGTAACTTTGCAACATTTGTAGGCAAGTAACATGCAGGTAGGTCCAGAGTTTGATGTGTGTTAAAATGTTTTTTAAATTATCTAAACTTCAAGCAAACAGTATTTTTTTAATTTGTTTGGTCACTGAGGATGTGAATCAAATGATCATCCTAATCTTGGAGACTCTTAACAAAATCGTGTTTGAGGCTCTCTGCCAGAATGGGATAGGGGGAAAATTCACTGGTGCAGGGACTTTTGAAACTGATTTCCATTGTTGGAGTTGCATATTTGATGAGAGACATTTGCTATGTTTTAAGTAACCATTGTTACAGTCTTGTGAGTGTTACAAGATGAAGGCAGTTCTTACTGACGTGACTGACTTGCTTCAACAATCAATTTCATTAATTATGAGGCCAGATATTATTACTCTGAAAGTATCACTTGATTAATACCATTTGCCATTGACTAGACTTAAGACTCAAGTACTAAAAGCATTGACTGCAGTATTTGGTCATAGTAGTGTAATATTTAAAGAGTATATCAGGTTTACAATTTTTTAACATGTCACATATTGACCTTGAATTTTATAAGTTGATAGAGAGTTAATATCAGTCTGTTTCTTTATAAAGCACTACTCTAATTCTTAAAAAATATTTGCTAATTTAGGTTAAGAATATTTTGATCTACAACTATATACCAATATTCTTGAAGCATTTGGTGACTGTAGATCTTTAGACAAAAGAAACATTTAAGTACATTCTTCCCTCTTTGTGACTATGTCCTTTTAGGACAATGACAAATAGAAATTTCATTATGTGCATACAATACTTTTTTCATAAAATTTCTGTTCTGTGTAATAAAACACTATAAAATGTAATTTTGCTTTAGAGTGATGACTTTAAGAACTGGAGTATGTAAGAAGAGCAAGACCCTCTTTTCTCACTTTCTGACAATTTACCACCAATTAGTATTTTTCTTAGGTGGTGATCTCATAACAGATTTAGGCAGTTTCATGTTAGGAAACTAGAACCCATGCTAGCCAATATAGACTGAATGAATATTAATTTTAAATCCTAATTTTAACTTGATTTTGTTAGCCCACCTTCCCTTCTCCTTGATCAATGATGTACCTGTCCCTTCTGTTATGAGTTATAATAGGAACAATCATTTTGCAGGAGAATTTTCACTTTTAAGCTTAAAAAAGTGAACTTAATGACTAAATGAACAGAAGATGAAATTTTGGGTGCATCAGGTATCACAGCATTGATAATGCAGCCTGTGTGTTGAGGATGGCTATTTCATTATACAGTTGATACTTTAAAAAAAAATTAAAAATCCTTGACAAGTTGTTTCAGAAATATATAAGACCTTTTCTTCAGGTTTGCATCACAGAAGTAGTATTTTTAATACATTCAATTAATTGAATTATTATACTAGCATTTCAACAGTACTTGACTAGCCAGGTAAGAAATACAATCATTTTCTCATACTCAATAATTAATCTTTTTATCAGACAGAATACATAGTAGGAAAGACTTTTCTGTCCCTTTAAATCAGTCATATCCTGATGAAATTCTCATGTAGTTTTACAAGATCTGTAGATTTATGAGTGTAAATCAGGAGTAACTGCACTGCAGTCACTGGAGTTTCACCAATAGGTAGTGGTGAAAAGTTAAAAGCAGCAAGGATAAAGGCTCCTAGCATTGTTCCAATTTTAAAAGACTAGCAGGATGCTTTTAATCACTGTATCTGTTAGTTCTAAAGTAAAAGATCTTAACTAATTTTAAACGCATACTTCTAATAATTTATTAGCATTTTGGAGTACACTTGCTTTTCACTTAAGTACAGCTCAATATGGTTGGTTCCATAAGAAAAACAGCTTCATACTGTCATACACTAGAAACATGATGACAACAACAAAAAAAAAAAGGCATAAAAAAGCTTCTGGAATTTATTCTATACTTTTGCTCCTTCTGCAGATTTTTCTCTTGGTTGTTTCTTTTTAATACAAGGTTGTATAAGTAAAAATATTATTCCCATCATGTATAGCAAGCCAGAGATGTAAAAAGAAAAATCGTATTTATGTGTGATGTCATAGATCCAACCTGCAAAATAAAGACAAAACATACTTGTTACGAAGCTTGACAACAAGGTACATTACATGGGAAAACATGAAAAATACTCCATATTTCTCTCATGACATTTCAGTCAAATCCATAGATGCTTTGTGGAAAAAGAGGTGGTGATTGTCTCCTTCTCTAGATGCTACAAATGGAAATGTATTAACAAAATTCTGTGTTCAGAAAGCAAGACCAGTGCAAAAACCTACCCCCATATTTGAGGATCATGAAAGTCTTAAAACAGAACTCTAGCTATGTGTCATGCTAAGAAGCCAAGCAACTTTCTCTTTAACACTGTACATTTTTCAAACAAATTACCACAGGTCTGACTTTAAAATAAGACATTTTTGGAATCCAAACCCAATCAGTTCTTCTGTCCTACTACTGTCTTTGTAAAATGCCTGATACTGCAGGCTAGTTCAAATGCTGTGCCTTGTGCAAGCAAAGGCATTCTCAATAAGCCTTCTCAGACCCACTTACCAGTAAAAGATTTTTCAAGAGATATAATCCCAGTACTGCAATAACTCTCATTCCAATCTTAATTCGTTTGCAAAAATACATAAAAGTTACTTCAGAAAGGTTTGAGAACCTAATAGCAACATTCCCTCGTGCCATGCTAGTTGAACCTCAAGATCAGAAGTTTTATATCAACTAATTGTATCCTGTTTGCTTAATTATTAATGACCAAATACAAAGACATGTTCAGCACAGACTGAGAGGTGCTGAAAGAATAAAGGGTAGAGTAAAACACTGCTGCTTTTCAAAGGGCACAGAATAAGTTTTCTTCTAAATTGTATCAGCTCACTCAATGGAGGAGAGAGAAGGTGAGAGCATTCTCACCCTTCTGGGTTGCTTGTGCTGCTCATAGCTTAAATTCAGCCTAGTGCCATCCCTGGCTGAACATGGCCAATACTCACAAGATTTCCTGCTGCTTTCTTCTGATATGCATCGGTGTGAAAGACAGCTGTAGTCTGGCTACAGTACTGACAATCAGTGTTTATATCTTCTCTGTACATCCCTGCCTCTTTCTATGAGAAAATTTATAATGAATGTTTGATTAAGCCTAAGTAACTATAGGGATAACATATATACACATCTACCTTTTGCTGTGGATGGCAGTAAAAAGATTACAAAAAGTGCAGTCCCCAAAGTAGATGCTTATGGCTGAAGAAGGCAAAGCTAAGTTAGTTAAATCAACACAAAATCATTGGCAGTTTAGGGTGGTGACACCCAAACACACTTTATAGTTCTTGGGGGTAATACTATGTTAATAGCACCTGCCTACCCTGAAAACTATTAGTTTTTTCATCTAGATAGAAGCATGAGTGTGTATACACTACACAAAACATAAAAATAGATTAAACTTTTCTCATTTAAAAAAAAATGTATAATATTTTAAGGAAACATACTATTGAAAGGTCAGATTCTAATAGGTTTGGGGTTATCTGCAAATTGTAATTTGTGGTGTGTCAACAGTAAGCTGGTATCTAGTGGATGTAAATTTGTACAATGTGAAGCTGGATGTCCATTCTGGAGCAGCCATAATTTTGTTAACTATAAGTGCTCATAACATAAAAAAGCTTAATCATATAACAAGTGACACAGTTACTATACAAACATCTGTTGGTTACCAATTTGAAGTTTTTTACCTGCAAAGGGTGGTCCAAACAATGCAGATATTCCGTTGGCACAAATGATGATACCATACGCATTTGCAAGGTGTTTACTTCCAACTAAATCTTCAGTCACAACAGGCATTAGAGAAAAATAACCACTAGAAAATCCTATTAGAGCACAAACCACACCCAGGCTAAGGTATGTTTGCATTAGTGGCAAAGAAAGGATGCATGTGACCAGGGTAAAGTTAGCTATGAGGAAGACGTTCCACGTGCTGATGCATGGCAGATCAGAGATGATTCCAAGGATCACTTTACCAAAAATATGAACAACAGCTATAATGGATGTCAAAGGAAATGTATTATTCTGACTAGATAAGTTGTACTGCTTGACTATTTCTGGAAGATGAATAAAGGGAATGACAAAGCTGCTATAGGCAAACAAAGCCCAGATTATAAATGCTACAAATACTCTATTGGTAAACAGTGATGCAGCTCCAAAGTAGCTGGAGTACCATACGGCAAAGCCCTTCCTGACTGCCACCGTCAATTGGCTCACTCTCTTAAGAATGCCCAGGCTGTACACAGCCCTTCCACTTCTACATTTACCTCCAATTTCTATTTGCTGAACACTGTCAAGTACTTCCTCATTTGCTGCTGCTGCTTTTTTTTCCAGTTCTTCACTGAGAACTCCATTAGGTTTTATAGTCTCTGCTAAATGGGACAGAGCTTTTGCCTGATTATCTTCACTATTACTTCTCAGAACATATTTTTCACTAACACCCTTGTGAGACAGTGGTCTCATAAGTGTCCCACAGACACAAAGGTTCAGGCAGATGGCACCTTGGATGAACATGGTGTTCCGCCACCCAAATTCGATGCAGAGATATTTCAGTAAGGCAGTCATTAGGAAAGCTCCAAACCCTGTTCCTGTGGTACTGAGTCCTTGTGCAAGCGCTCTTCTCTTCTGGAAATACTGCCCTACCATGACCACTGCAGGCAGATAGACCATCCCGCTGCCAACGCCTGTGAAAAGAAAAGAAAAAATCAATCTGAATTTTCTCCTGACAAAAGTGGTGAAAAACAAATTAGTTTTATTCCCAATGTTTGTGCAAGCATAGTAGTAAAACTGACAGTAAATTCTTATGTTAGCTTTCATTTCTTTTTTGTAGTATTTTCCCAAATTTGGAATACTCATTCCAGTAATAATAACACACTAGTATTAAACTGCTGGAAAAACGAAACATGTGGAAGATAAAATAATTATCTCAGTTCAACATGATACTGCTGGAAAGTGCCAAACATCCCACAATAAAACACGGACAGTTAATGTGGGAACAAGCATAAGCAAACCCTATTTTTAAACACCTCCATTTGTAATACTTGCATCTGTTTGTATCAGCAACCAGAAATTGCTTGGTGGTCACAAGATGTGCTTTTGCCTGCATTCACCAGCAATGAAGATCCAGCCTGAGTTTTTGTCCTTGCCTTGTAACTGTAGAGTCACCAGGACCATGAGATGTATTTCAGGAGGCAGCACAAGGGGTTAGCCTGGTGGTGGGACCTTGGGTGGCTTTCAAGTTTCTCTTTGGGCACTCCACAGAAGTCCAGGGAGGGCCACAATGTAGCTACACAGGCATATTCTTAAAAGGCAGACCTCTAACTTTTTAGAAAAGCCCTCACTTGATAAAAACCAAGGTATTAATGGTAGCTGTTTCATGCAGAAAGTATTGAGAGTTGTGCAAACACACTATGAAAGGTAACAGTTGCCCAGTTTTTCTCACAGCAAATTCCTGACAGAGATTGCGACTGAAAGAGGCATATACAGAAAATGTTTCCAAGTTCACTGTTCTAAATTATGATCTGAGTGAAGGATTATATACAGAAGTTTTCCTAAATAGCCAATAATGTAGCTGCATGCAGCTACAGCATGAATCTAGCCACAGCTAGATCAGAGAAAGAGTGACTATTCCAGCAAAGCCTGAAGAAAAGCACGTCAGCATCACAGCAGCGTACCATGGTGAGAGCTGATCGGTTTTGCCTGTTAGAAGTATTTATTTCTTTGCCATGCAAATACACGATTGGGTTTTTATATTGCAAAAGGTCTCCGTCCCCAAATCCAGCCACAAACTCTAAGGAAATCTCCCTGCTGCCCAGAAGAACGGCAGCTGAGGCAGCAGGGTGGCTGTGGCTGGGGGGACAAGGCTCGGATCACAGGGATGTGTGTGAGGGCAGCTGGCACAGGGCAGGTCACCAACAGGGAGAACAGGTGCCACGGGTAAGCCCGTGAGCACTGCATGGAGGCCAAGAAGTGACCTCTGCAGGAGGCGGCTATTGCAAGTGAACAGCAACGCGACACTGAGCAACCACGAGAACGTGAAAGAAATTTCCCTGAGGTGGCAGGAAGTTTCTGGATTTTCCAGAAATGAAGAGTGAATAAAAGGGAGTAGTGTTTTAGGTAGATAACACTGGGTTCTTCTATATACCTCTCCTAAAATAACTCATCTTTTTCACAAGAAGCCACATTTTGCTTGAAGCTGAGTATTTAGGCACTAAGGATCTGTTGGTTTTCAAAAAACACGCCTAATCACTTATGCCTTTTCATATTTTGATCGGGCTCTTACACATGTCAAAAGATTTACAATCTAAAATTCCCCTCTTTACTCACACAGATAACCTCTAAAGGAATTGAAAATGACTGAAAGAACTTTCAAATGTTTTTACCAGCTGTCACTCCAAACGTGAGGAAGAGATAGTGCACGCTGGAGGCGTAGGCACTCAGTATCCAACCTAGGGCGTTCAATATCCCTCCAATTATAGCTGTCTTGCGGCACCCACACATGCTGATGAATAAACCAATGAAAGGACCTGTTAAAAAAGATGAAAAAAAGTTAAATTATTTCATTATCTATGCCCTTTAATAATTTTTCATATGCCAGTTCTTAATGCTGTAAACAAAATACTAAAACACCAGGCTACTCATGCAATTAATTTTATTTTCCCTATTACTGTTAAAATCGTGAAAAGAAAAATTAAACCATATATACCTGGCAAATACCTGTAGGACCTAAAATCAAAGCTGCCTCATGAAGAAGGGACAGTTTAAACAGAGGAAAAAATGAAACTGCTGTTCCCAATACTAACGCTGTGTGAGTACAGACCTTTTTCACAAGTAACTGGAAAGTAAACGTTTTCTTTTGTTTTCAGTGGACTACTTTATGCAGACCTAAACAAAACTTGTCAATCTTAATTTACGCAGATAGGTGTGTGTATTTACATAAATGCACAAATATACCTCACCAGATATTATTTTGGGTTGATCCAATCACAACTTAAAAAAATCAGTTTCAGTTCAGTTGTGAAACTGAAATATAAATTGTCAAAAATCAACATTTTGTCCCCTCAAATGCAGTAATGGGGCAGGACCACAAGCTTCACAGATATCTGTTTTCTTAATTCTACTGAGACCTTGCAGTCACAGACATCCTTTCCTGCTCATGCTCTCTCCTGGAGTAACTGTCTTCACTATCATCTTCCTTGTTGTTCCCTTTCTCCCTGTAACTTGTAAAGCTTGTCCTTGTGACTTGAAAAGGCAACTCAGAAGAACTTGAGTAGTTCTGCTAATAAAATGGCAAACCGCAAGAAAGTACTGGAGAGAGGTGTGACAAATATAGTCTAAAAATCTACACAGTTTTTAAATAAATTATGCTGGAACATACCTACAATAAGTGTAATTCCAATGCTGAGGGAGCTAACCCATGCTGTTAAGCCACGACTTTGATTAAACTCTTCAAGCCATTCCGTGTTGAGTATTCCAAGAGCCATTTGGGACCCCATGATAAGTATGTGCGCAAGGAAAGAGGAAAGTACAATCATCCAAGCCCATCCTCTATCGATGTTTGAATTGGACTTAATTGGCTTACTTCCAACTTTTGAGTCATCTCCAAAATCATATCCAATATCCTCTCGACTAGCATACGTTTTCTTCATGGTATTCTGAAACAAATGCAGTAAATACCTTCAAAATACACACAGAATGATCACATTTTGTAGTTTGGTTATAGTGAACAGCATAAATCATGACCATATTTCACCGTAGTGGTTAGTGTAGTTGTACAGTGAATACTGGGGTTTCGTTGTTTTAAGTCTTTTTTAGTAGTGGAAGAACAAGAGTGATGACAGAAAGATATAAGGTTCTTGATTTTCAAAATGCTTTGCTTACATAAATTACAAGAGGATTGTTACTACCTCTCTGCCAAGCTTTTTAGTAGAGACAGCTTGGCAAAGAGTTTGCTATTATGCTTTCAGTTTCCATAGTATTAATCCATAAAAACCTACTAAAACCAAATAATTTCTCCAAATTAATGTCAATGCCTATCAGAATCAAACTGAATGGCAGAGTTATATATATGTAAAATCAGGCCATAATAGCTTAATTTGATTAGTTTGATTTCCTCCATTGTTAGTCTAAGTAAGGATTGTAGCACAATGTGAAAACAAATTCAAAACAATTTTCAGTTGATTAACAGGTCAAAGTACAGAACTCTGTCTTCCATCTTATTTCTGCTGTAACATATTGAAATGTTACCAAACTGCAGAGCACCACATAGGTTTCCATGGAGACTAGAAATGTAATGATACAAATTACTGGAGATGGTAATTTTTTCTTTTATTTTCTTGTCCAGAGAAATAACAAGAGATACCAGCTACACAACAGTTAAAAGTGAGAAGAAAGTTATCAAAAACGCTTTTAAAAAGCTTCTTATATATTCTGTGAGCCCTCAGAAGGTGTGCATCAAGAACTAGCTCCTCACTACTGAAAACTAGCAGTGAATGGAGTAACTCATTCTGTACTAAATGAAAATTTGGGCTGTTGTCCTTAAATACATGAATATATTCTGCCATCTCAAATTAACTACCTTTCCAAACGATTCTACTTTTTTTTCTGTTAAGTAAGCATACAAATAAGGCATTTAAGTATTTCATCCTAGCACACAGATGGAGTCAGAGCTGATGAGTCAAAGCTACCATTTCTTCCACGAACACTGAAAACCTGTCAATATATGTAACCTCTCCAGACTGCTTGCTAGTCAAGTGTGGTGGTTCAGCCCCAGGTGGGAG